TTTTTTTTTTTTTTGAGACAGTCTCAGTTGGTTGTCCTTAGCACTCCTAGCTCACAGCAACCTCAAACTCTTAGGCTCAAGAAATTCTCTTGCCTCAGCCTACTGAGTAGCTGGAACTACAGGTGCCCATCACAACACCTGGCTATTTTTAGAGACAGGGTCTCCCTCTGGCTCAGGCTGGTCTTGAACTTGTGAGCGCACAGCAATCCACTCTCCTTGGCCTCCCTGAGTGCTAGGATTATAGGCATGAGCCACAGCACCCAGCCAAAATAGGCCTTTTTAAAGTTGTTTTTAAAGCAAACAATTAAGGTAGTAGTGTGTTTTTCCCCACTGCCTGTAGTCTGCAAATCATTTTAGAATTATTTCATGATAAAATTTTAAATATTTGTGGAATCCTAGTTATCATTCCCATACCAAGTACACACAGAGCCAATCAAACACCATCTAAGTTTGGTCTTCTCTCTGAAATCTCAAGAATGAATTATTCTACCAAAAAAAAAAAAAAAAGAATTCTAAATCCCAACCTTCTCATCAAAGCTTCTGGTCAACAAACTACAAGCTCCACTGTGTAGTGTCTACAGTATATAATAGGGCAGGGAATAGAAAGGGTCAGTTACGCTTGGTGAGTTGCATAGTAGTTAAGTCCTCATGAAAATTTATGACCCATATAGAAGTAATAAGTTAATATTAAGACAGTTTCGCTCTCCAAGACTGTACCACCAGGTGTTTCTGTCATTTAATTACAGTAAGGAAAAGATCCAGAGTTGGGATACAGGAAACCAGAAACAACCCAGCAATATTCTGATAATTATGAATACTATTGCTTTGATATTCTAGCTCACCCCAACCATAAAGGGTTAACCTTCTCTTGACCCCAGTAAGTGTCTTCCTATGAAATGGTAACAAACAACAGAACAAAATGGCATTCAGATTAAATGTGATATGACTATTTTATCCTACTCCTTATCAAAAGTTCTAAAACTGTTTTGAAAGACAAAAATGCAATTTTAGGCAGCGCCTGTGCCTCAGTGGGTAGGGCGCCAGTCCCATATACCAAAGGTGGCAGGTTCACACCCAGCCCCAGCCAAACTGCAACAAAAAATAGCCAGGCGTTGTGGTAGGCACCAGTAATCCCAGCTACTTGGGAGGCTGAGGCAGGAGAAGCACCTAAGCCCAGGAGTTGGAGGTTGCTGTGAGCTGTGTGATGCCCTGGCACTCTACTGAGGGCAATAAAGCAAGACTCTGTCTCCACAAAAAAAAGAAAGAAAATGCAATTTTATTTTCTATCTAAAATTTCTAAAGTCTACACATCCTTTGATCCAGCAATTCTACCCCTAAGACTGAATCCTTTTTTAAAAAAACTGTTACACGGCTCGGCGCCTGTGGCTCAAGTGGCTAGGGCGCCAGCCACATACACCTGA